ATTTCATTGCAATTTCATGTGATAATGAACACATAGTAATGGCAAACATAAATCAGAGGCAACATTTGAAAATAAGCATCAACCTCATTTATTTTGATACCCTGTATGTTAAACCTAACTAAAGCAGCTGCCATTACTGTATACGTTTCCAGATGTTATATATGTTTCCAGGTTTGGTGGAAATGAATTGAGAACCCAAATGCAGAGATGAGTTTTGCTGATTTAATTAAAGTTCCAGAGGCAACAAAGGCAAAAATCCAGGAACAAAATAAGGAACAAAAAACCAGGAGACACCAGGGAGAAACAACGCGTGGGGAGATAGCAATAAAGCAACAAATCAACAAGAGACCAGCAATGAGGAACTGCAGAGGTGGTGTATATATGGAGAACAGAACAAAGAATGATGAGCTGATATGGAGCAGGTTTGGATGGAGGTAACTAGAAGGGAGCCAGGGGGAAAAAACTGGCACAAGGGGGCAACAGAGAGTAACACAAACACACAACTCTGTCAGAAAAAACTATGAAGACACAAAATTACAAAGAAACTAAAAATAAACCTAAACAAAGGCAAGAACCCTGACAGTCTTCTTTTTTTCCATCTAAAACATGCGTTAATCTAATAGTGTTTTTCTTTTGTTTAGTTTTTTACATTACCATGCTTTATGAGTGTGGGATAGCTGTGCCTTTGCCGTGGCCTGCATAGGGAGCAGGAGGGGTAGCTCCAAGCTCATGTAAAAGTGGAGCAGTGGAAAAGAGGTGGCAGAAACACTGTCCCACAAAGCCTGGACCTGTTTAGCTTGGCTCAGGGCCCCGCAGGTTGGCTGTTTTTGGAAGTTTGGACAGGATGCGTTTATTTCCAAGGGTTGGTTTCAAGGGGCATCCCGGCCTTCTATCCGCCTAGGCTTAGCCTTGACTTAGCAGTAAAGCGGCATGAAGTATTTGGAGACTTTGACCTTTTTTTCACCCATTTTTTTTAATATTGCAACTGTTATCTGCAGTTCTCCTGAATCTTTTCCCTCTGATGTGTTACGTCTGAAATATGCTTTACTGTCACTTTAAAGAGTGGTTTCATTATCCTTTGTTTTGATTTTATTTCCAGATTAGCTTCTGCTAACTGTGTTAGCTCTAGCTAATATAGTAAACAGTAGATTACAAGCCAATCACATGTGTCAGTTCCAACAGATATCTGATGCATAACGTCTCATGAAAATTGAGGCAGTGACTCAGAGTGGCATCGTCTAAATTTACACCAAGCAAACGCAACATGATAAAAAGGAACTACTAACATATTTAGGCCAACATATTCAAATAGTCGTGGATCCTTAACCCTGTAATGCCAA